GAACAGACTGTTCTAAACTTGGGAAGAAAATTATAAATCAAAGGGTAACCTTGAAGAAAAATAATAAACTGTCACATAAAAATTAAAAAAAATAGGACAAATACAAATATTTAGCAGATATTAAAGCCACAGCAATAAAGGAAATGATAACATGATTCAAAAACAAAATGAACTGAGCACAGAAAATTTTATAGAACAAAGAAATCAGCAACACCACAAAAAAACACATAACAAAATGACAGCAACAAATTCATACTTGTCAATAATTACACTCAATGGTAATGGATTAAATGCACCACTCAAGAGACAGAGAGTTGTAGACTGGATAAGAAAACGTAACCCATCAATATACTCTGTACAAGAGACATACCTTAGAGACAAAGACAAAAACAGACTAAAAAACAAAGGTTGAAAAAAGATATATTAAGCAAATGGCAATCAAAAAAGAGCAGGAGTGGCAATATTAATTTCTGATAAAATTGACTTAAGACAAAAACTATCATAAGAGACAAGGAAGAAGGTTGGGCAATCTACTTCCGTAGCAATACCACTTTGGAAACCCAAGAAGGCGTCACTATGAGTCAGATTTGACTTGACAGCAGTGAGTTTTTTTAGTTTTTAAAGGGTTCATTGAACAAGAGGACATAACCATAATTAATATCTACACACCCAATGAAAGAGACCTAAAATACATGAATCAGACTTTAGTAGAATTGAAAAGACAAATAGATGACTCCACAATAATAATAGGAGAATTTAATATACCTCTTTCAATCAAAGATAGAAAAACTGTAGAGAAATGCAACAAAGAGGCAAAAGAACTAAGTAATACAATCAACCAGCCTCACCTTATAGACATCTACATAGCACTTCATCCAATAACAGCACAATATATATTCTTTTCCAGTGCACAGGGAACATTGTCCAGGATACATCATACATTAGGCCACAAAGAAAGCCTCAATAAATTTAAAAGCATTGACATACTCCAAAGAATCTTCTCAGATCACAATGCTATAAAACTAGAAATCAACAACAGAAAGATCAACAGAAAAAGAGCAAACACATGGAAACTGAAAAACACTCTCCTTAAACATGATTGAGTAATAGAAGAAATAAAAAAAGAAATTCCTTGAATCAAACGAGAATGAAAAAAACAACATACCAATATGTTGGAATACAGTAAAAGTAGTAATCAGAGGGTAATTTAAAACATTACATGCACACATCAAAAAAGAAGAGAGTCAAAATCAACACATTAACCCAACAACTCCAACAATTAGAAAAGAGCAGCAAAAAAAGCCTACAGTCTCTAGAAGAAAAGAAATAATAAAGATTCTAGCAGAAATACATGAAACAGGAAATAGACAATAGAAAAAAATCAACAAGACTAGAAGTTGGTTTATTGAAAAGATCAATTAAATTGACAAACCACTGCCAAACTTAGCAAAGGAAAAGAGTGAGAGAACACAAATAACATGAATAAGAAACGAACTGGGTGATGTCACCAGAGAACCAACTGAAATAAAAAAGATAATATCAGAATACTATGAAGAACTGTACTCCAACAAGTTTGAAAATCTAGAAGAAATGGACAGATTTCTAGAAACATACTACTTACCTAAAATAGCACATATTAAGGTGGAAAATTTGAACAGACCCATAACAAAAGAAGAAATTAAACTGGTCATAAAAAAAAATTACCAACAAAAATGTCCTAGCCAAGATGGTTTCACTGGAGAATTCTACCAAACATTCAGACAAGAACTGACACCAGTGCTACTCAAACTATTCCAGAACACAGAAATGGATGGAATCCTCTTAAATTCATTTTATGAGCAAGATAACCTTGATACCAAAACTAAGCAAAGACATCACTAAAAAGGAAAACTACAGACCAATATTCCTCAGGAACATACACGCAAAAATATCCAACAAAATCCTACCCAATATATTCCAACAACATATCAAAAAAAAATAATACACCATGACCTAGTGGGGTTCATACCAGGTATGCAAGGATTGTTCAACATTAGAAAAACAATCAATGTAATCCATCACATAAGTCAAATAAAGGAAAAGAACCACATCATCATATCAATTGATGCAGAAAAGGTATTTGATAAAATCCAACACCCATTCCTGATCAAAACTCTCAGCAAATAGGAATAGAAGGGAAATTCTTCAAAATAATAAAGGGCATATGTACAAAACAAACAGCCAACATTATTCTCAATGGAGAGAGGCAGAAACCATTCCCCTTATAAACAGGAACCAGACAAGGATGCCATCTATCACCACTTCTATTCTACACTGTGTTGGAAGTCCTAGCCAAAGCAATAAGGCAAAAAAGGGAAATCAAAGGCATACAAATTGATAAGGAAGAAGTCAAACTATCCCTATTTGCTGATGATATGATACTATACATAGAAAACCAAAAACACTCAGCAAGAAAACTACTGGAACTAATTGAGAGATTTAGCATAGTGAAAGGATACAAGATCAACATACAAAAATCAGTTGAAAAGGAAATAAGAAAATCAATACCATTTACAATAGCTACCAAAAAAATAAAATACTTGGGAATAAATCTCACAAGAGACACAAAAAAAAAAAAAAAAAAAAACTACAAAATACTATTTCAATGAACCATAAGAGATCTACATAAATGGCAGAATATACCATGCTCACAGATAGGAAGATTGAACATGATGAAAATGTCAATACTACCCAAGCGATATACACATTCAATGCAATCCCAATCCAGATCCCATCAACATTTTTTAAAAACATGGAAAAACCAATCACTAATTTTATATGGAAAGGAAAGAGACCTCGAAGAAGCGAAGCACTACTGAGGAAGAAGAACAAAGTCGAACGTCTCCCAGATCTCCAAATCTACTCTACAGCCACAGTTGTCAAAACAGCCTGGTATTGGTACAGCGACAGACACATAGACCAGAGGAATAGAATTGAGAGCCCAGAAATAGATCCATCCAGCTAAACAAAAAAAAAGAACCACATGATCATATCAACTGATACAGAAAAGGCATATATTAGCTAATCTTTGACAAAGGGCCCAAATCCATTAAATGGGGAAGAGATAGTCTCTTTACCGAATGGTGCTGGCAAAAATGGATATTCATTTCCAGAAAAATGAAACAAGATCCACATCTCACACCATATACAAAACTAACTCCAGATGGATCAAAGACTTAAATGTGAAACCTAAAACTATCAAATTAATCAAGGGAAAAATAGGGCAAACTTAAAGGCCCTAATTTATGCCATAAATAGATTATCAAGCACAATCCAAGATGCACAAACAGCAGAAGATAAACTGGATGACTGGAATCTTCTAAAAGTTAAATTCTTATGTGCATCAAAAGACCTCTCCAAAAGAGTAAAAAAGAGAATCTACAGAATGGGAAAAAATATTTGGCAATGACATACCAGACAAAGGACTTAACTTTAAAATTTACAGAAAACTCCACGACCTCAACATCAAACATCCAATTACAAAATGGGCAGAAGATATGAACAGATACTTCACCAAAGAAGACATTCAGGCAGCCAACAAACACATGAAGAAATAATGTTCATGATGATTAGCCACTAGAGAGATGCATGCAAATCAAAACAACCATAAGATACCATCCTGCCCCAGCACTAGTAGCAAAGTTCAACAAGACAGAAAATAACAAATGCTGGCGAGGATGTGGAGAGACTGGGACTCTCATATACTGCTGGTAAGACTGTAAAATGATACAATCACTGTGGAAATCAGTATGGCAATTCCTTTAAAAGTTGGAAATAGAAACACCATTTGATCCAGTAATCCTATTACTAGGTATATAGCCTGAAGAAGTGAGAGGCAGGACACAGATATATGCACACAGCAATATTCACAACAGCAAAAAGATGGAAACAACCTAAGTTTCCACCAACTGAGGAATGGATAAACAAACTGTGGTACATACACACAATGGAATACTATGAAACACTAAAGAATAATGTAGAATCTGTAAAACACTGCATAACATGGATAAACTTGGAGGATATTATGCTGAGTGAAATAAATTAATCACAGAAGGACAAATATTGTATTAATCCACTATTGTAAAAAGTCAAGTAAAGGTTTATACATGGAAGGAAACTCTTTGTTGGTTACCAAAGATGGAAGGGAAAGAGAGGAAAAGTTCCTAGAGAGGTTGGGGAAAAAAAATTATATATAGAGAGAAAAACCAAACATTATTAATGGTTATTAGGGGTAGGAGGGAGGGGAAAAAGCGAAGCTTTTGGTTATGAGGCACTGAGTTTATGTTAATGGTGGTGGAGTATTTTGGAAAATATGAATGAAAAATGTCATCAATGTCCCTGAGCTATAAATCTAGAAGTTGTTATGTTGGCAAACGTCCAGTAGTGTATGTTTTTACCACAATAAAAGTGAAAAATAAATAAATTATATATATATATGTATATGTATATGTACACATATACATATATTTAATACAGAGCCTGTTGTTAACACACTCCAATAAAACTACAAATAAACAGCTTACAGGCTTTAAGCATAAGCTATTATAATAATGACACGTAAGTCTAAAACCAAAAAAAAAAACAAACTCAATGCCATCGAGTCAATTCCGATAGCAACTCACTTTGGATATCTGAGGTGGTAAATCTTTACAGAAGCTGATTGCCCAGTCTTCCTTCTTCAGAGTGGCCAGTGAGTTTGAACCGCCAACCTTCTGGTTAGACGTAAAATGCCTTCAACACTACACCACCAGAGCTCTTCATAATTCTAGATTTCCCCCTTATTTTAGATTGTTTCAGAAACTAAGCATTCTGCTAAAATTATTTAAATAAAATTATAGTAAAAATGTTTTTTATTAATTTATTTCAAAATAATTACTTAATATGTGTCTAAATAGAATTGTCTTAAAAATACTAAGCTAATTTTAGTAGTAGTATCTTTTAAGCATATAAAACACATTTACCTGATTTGACATGAGTGTGGAAACACAGTTATAAAAAGCATCTACTTTTTCAGGGGTAATGCCCTCTAATGACTCCTTCTTGGTAAACAGACTTATAACCTTTGGATACCATGTATTCATTATCTTCTCTTCTGCCTTTTTAGCTTGTATTGATAGATCATTTTTCAGTGATTCACAATCAATTGGACCTTTAGCTCTTGTTATCAGAAAAAGAAAATGATTTGAAGCAAATGTTAGATACTGGTCTTCATACACTATTGTTGAAACAAGATAAATTTTTTAACTGCAAAATCTAAATGAAGATTTTGAAGATTTACCAAAGTTTTAAAAATTATACAGTAAAAATATAAAGACTTGAGCAAAGAAACATATGATTCTTAAATGTTAACTAATAAAATGGGAATTTTACCTAATTCCTGTTAAATCCAGCAGAACTGTATTGGCAAAGGTTGTATAACCAAGCTCCAGTAATATTTTCATGGTGGGATGAACAATATGCAAATTAGACAATATTTGATTTCTTGCCTGCATATAGCTAGAATGCCATGGATTAGAATAGTCCAAGCCTCTGGAAAAGCAAAGCATATCAAACAAGAATAAAACTATAAACCCTAAGTTTTAAGAAATAACATTATGACATGGAATTAGTATTAAAGTGAAAAAACTGAGGATTGGAAAGAGGGGAAAAATGGACAGCAAAGGAACCATAGAAAATAAATAGTTAATAAAAACACATCAAGATCCCAAAAGTGCATTATTTTTAGAGAGAACAAACCTAAATTGTGCGTAAAGCAGGTTAATGGAGCCAGGTGTGAGTGGCCTGCTTACTAGCTTCCACTGTGCTCTGGCTCAGTTACCCTGGGTTACACAAAAAGAACACAATCTTAAGACTGGGAGAAGGAATGGAGAAATCTGCCTGGTATGCAAAGCAGCTTACTAAAGGCCAAGTATAGCTATACATTCATAAACATTCTCCTACTTATGTAAGAAGGGAGCGCTGGTGGCATACCTCCTAAGGCATTTGACTGCTAACCAGAAGGCCCGCGGTTCAAACCCACCAGCCACTCCTCGGCAGGAAAGTTGGGCAATCTACTTCCGTAGTGATACCACCTCAGAAACCCAAGGAGGGGTCGTTATGAATCAGATCCGACTTGATGGCAGTGGGTTTACTTTATGTAAGAAGCAACTAGACAAGCACAGTGTAGAGGATACCTTTGGAGAAGTGTGTAGAATTGGTTTTTTGGTGGTTTTTTTTTTTTTTTTTAGATATTTTCAAAATATCTTTGAACATCACAATTTTAGACTACAGTGTAAGATCAATTTATTTTCAATCTGTTATTAAAAACTACATGAAGGTTCAGGACATTAGTCTAATGGGGCAACTCAGTCAACTGGCACCCCAAAGTTCATGTTCTCCATCCTAGCCAAGCAGGTAGTGTCTGGGTTCTTAAAAACTTGCGAGCAGCCATGTAAGGCACAACTACTGATTCCTAGTCATCAGGAGCAAAAAAGAAGGAAATCAAAGCCTCAAAGAAGAAACTAGACTACAGGGCTAATATCCTACATGAGCCATGACCCTGAGACCAGCATTAGATGGTGTCTCACTACGACCACCAACTGTTCTGATTAGGCCCATAAGAAATGGACTCAGATAGTTGTAAATGTATAAATGGAAAATAAATGAATAAATTCCCACGGGGAAAAGAGGGGAAGGAGCTCCCCTCCTCCACTGCTTTCTGTTGAATTCCTTTAGGTAATTTGTAAATTCTTCATCTTTCTAAAAAGTATGTAAATGTAATTGCAGGTAATTGAAGGAGCTTAGCAAGAATTCAGGTGGCCCCACCCTATCTGCAGGCCAGTAGGATAAGTAAATTAACAATTATGTTTAAAATATGAATGTACTGATTGTACCCCTTACCCAATAATGGTTAAGATATCGTTCAGTCTTTGCAATTTCTTTAGCATTCTTATTAATGTTCACTCAATAATAAAAGTTTTCTCTCTCTTCTATTTTTGTGGAGAGGTTTTCAGGGTTAGGAGTAGATTTTGTTGTTAATAACTTTTCCCCAACAGAAAATGGTATAAAAACATGGAACAGAAGTCAAATTCTTAAAAATTCCACACTTACAAGACCAACTGAGATGAGAGGACTCCCTGAAACTGAGACTGTTGCCCTGAGATATTCTTTAAACCTTTAACGGAAACAGTCCTGAGGACACCTTTTAGCAAAATAACAGAGTGGCACACAAAGTAATGGATGTTCACCACGAATACAGTTGTTATTGTGTTGTTGTTATGTGCCATCGGGTCGGACCCAACTCATAGCGACCCCTCCTTGGGCTTCTGAAGCAGTATCTCTATGGAAGCAGATTGCCCCATATTCCTTCCGAGGAGTAGCTGGTGGGTTTGAACCACCAGCCTTCTGGTTAGCAGTCAAGTGCCTTAGGCACTAAGCTACCAGAGCTCCCACAAATACAGTACTCCAGTAAAAAATCATCTATATGAGAGCAAAGGTCAATAATCACTCTAAAGCAAAGATGAGAAGATAAAGGCAGACAGGGAAACTAGAGCTCTGGAAATGAGACAATCAGAATGCAATTAAAGAGAATGTTGACACATAGTGAAAAATGTAACTAATGTCTGAACATTTTGTGTAAAAATTGTCAAATGGGAACATAATTTGTTGTGTAAACTTATATCAAAAACACAATAAAACATTTAAAAAAGAAAACTATGTGACTTATTGTATTTAAAATAATTTACTCACAAAGGGGATTCAGGTAAAGGGCCTCCTTCATCTTTAAGCCATTTAACTGAAGGTTTCACAAGAACACTCCGCACTAAAATACACATATAAATACATACTTCTTGAAAATATTTGCAAAATCTATTTTTATCAAAGTTTTTGACTTTTAATATTGGATGGTATAGTTTACTGTTCATTTAAATAAGAAAAAATATCTTTTATTTAAAACTAAATCATACTTTTGGTAATATTTTGGCCTTACTTTGGAAGTAAATTCAGATTTAGTAAAGTTTTAATAAATTCTCAGTTTGTAGTGTTATATCTACTCAAAGATAACTAGTGTGGTCATTTAAGAAAATATATTCCAGTAAAAACTGTATAGGTCAAACACCTAATAAATCACCCTGGCAGTTCAAACCCACCAGCCACTCCCTGGAAGGAAGACTGGGCAATCTATTTCTGTAGAGATACTGCCTCAGAAACCCAAGGATGGGTCGCTATGAGTCGAATCGACTCGATGGCAGTGAGTTTAGTTTTAGTTTCAGTACATGTTGTTGTTGTTGTTGTTAAGTGCCGTCGAGTCGTTTCCGACTCATAGCGACCCCATGCACAGCAGAACGAAACACTGCCCGATCCCGCGTACATGTATTAGTGTATATATATATATACTACATATATACTACCCCATAAATGAATAATGAATAGTATAGCTGCAACTGTAAAGACAAAGCAAAACACATTTTTTAAAAAAAAAAATCTATAAACTAATAAGCACACAAAATTACACAGTGCTCATAAATTACATTTTGACTAGATTATAGACTCAAAAGAAAACTTTTAAATAAAAATCTTATCTAAGGAATATACAGTGTTAATTTACTTCATTATTGTGTTTATTGCTACTTCAATATGGACAGTGGAAAAAAAAGCAAATATGTCTTAGTTATCTACTGTTGTAAGAGAAATATCACAAATGGATGACTTTAACAAACATAAGTTAATTTTCTCAGTTTAGGAGGCTGCAAGTCTGAATTCAGCACTGGCTCTAGGCTTTCTCTCTCTGTGGATGCTGGAGGAAAGTCCTATTCTCTTCAGCTTCTGCCTCCTGGTCTCTTGGAGATCTCCTTGTGTCTTGGCCTCTATCTCACCCTATCTCTCCTCCTAACTTGCTTGTTTAATCTCTATTATTTGCAGTATCTCTACAAAAGTAGATTGCCCAGTCTTCCTTCTGAGGAGTGGCTGGTGGGTTTGAACCTCCAGCCTTCGGTTATCAGTCAAAATGACTTAGGCACTGGTCCACCAGAGCTCCGATCTTGCCTGTTTAATCTCTTTTGTATTTCAAAACAGATTGTCAAAAAATACACCCTACACTAGTCTTGTTTCAACACAAAAAGACAACCAATTCCCAAATGGGATTCTAACCACAGGCATGAAGGTTAGGATTTACAACCTGGCATATTTTGGGGGAACACGGTTCAATCCATAACAATAGGTTAGAGAAATTTTGCACATATCAAATGCTGTTGTTGCTAGGTGTCTGTGGTGGTTAAGTTTGTGGGTCAACTTGGCTAGGCCTGGTTGAGTGGCTGGGCAGCTGAATGTAGTTATTCTTCATGGTGAGACTGGTAATTAACTCCATGGTAGAATCTATTGGAGCAGCTGAGTAACTGCTTTGTTTATGTGGTCTGCTTCCCATATGTAAGAAACAGTTTTGGGAATGGTCTCTAGCTTATGGCACGCTTGAACCCTGCATGTGGCCATGTCATTGTTTAGCAGCCTACCGTACCGACTTTGAGACTTTCAATGGACTTGAATTAATGGCCTGCCATGTGGTTTTCGTAACATCAGGACTGTGCCATTTTATTGGGCTTGTTAGTCTCAGCAGTCAGTAGCTGCTTGAGTGAAGAGATGCCTCTAGCTCCACTGGGCCGGGAGCAAGAGGCAGAGCTGAAGCCCAAGGTCAAGGGGCTTTCACCCAGCCCCTAGAGCCTGGCACGTTGAACTCGGACTTCTAGCCTCCCCAAGTGTAAGAGAATAAACTCCTGTTTGTTTAAGCCATCCCATTTGTGGTATACGCGTGTCAGAGCAGCACTAGGTTACCAACGCAGTGTCCTCATATGAACACCATGATAAATGCTACTTACCCAAATATCTCTTCATGCTATTTTCAAAGTCACTTGAGACCTCATTTATGAGACTTTCAACAAGTTCTTCTCTTTCTTTTCCTTCTTTTAAAGACTCGGGTATCAGCATTAACATGTTATCCAGCCATTCCTGCTGAATAGGTACTATAGGACTACTTTCTACACATCGCTTCAAATACATATAGTTGATCTGGGAATGAAATAAGAAAAATTAAATACTGTACGTGGTATAGCTTTCTAACGTGATTGCTGAGGTCTATCTTCTCAGAACATGACTAATAACTTTACTGTTTTCAGAATTACAATTTTTAGCCAAAAATATGATCTACAAAGAAACTATTTCCTTTTTTAAAAATAATATCTCATCAAATTAATAGTCTTAGCATTTTCTTCAATTTCTTAAGGCAAACAAACATCCTTTATCTAACTTTTCATTGTTTCATTCAACAAATACACATTAATTCAACAAATATTCAGACATTGTTCTCAAGACAGAAGATATAGTAGTATATATAGTAAACAAAACTAAGTCTCTAAGAGTCTCATATACTGCTGATGGGACTGTAAAATGGTACAGTCACTATGGAAAACAGTATGACATTTCCTTAAAAAACTGAAGATAGAAATCTCATTTGATCTAGCAATTCCATTACTAGGAATATATCCTAAAAAGGTGAGAGCCAGAACACGAATAGACATATGCACACCCATGTTCATCACAGCACAATTCACTATAGCAAAGAGATGTAAACAACCTAAATGCCCATCAACAGACGAATGGATAATCCAACTATGGTACATTCACACAATGGAATACTATGTAACATTAAAGGATAATGAAGAATACATGAATCATCTCATATGTGGGTGAATTTGAAGGACATTATGCTGAGTGAAATAAGTCAATCACAGAAGGACAGATACTGTATGAGTCCATTATTGTAAAAACTCAAGGAAAGGTTTATGCAGGGAAGGAAACTCACTTTGTTGGTTACCAGAGATGGGAGGGAAGGGAAGGAAAAATTTCAGACTAGTTGGGGATCACATGTTTATTTGAGTGAGGGGAGGGGGTGGTATGGAAAGAGTCCGTGACCAGCATGGTAACAGTGGGGAAAGGGAGGACACAGAAACATGCACAAAAGGTATAGACAACAGAGGCAAATACTATCCCATGTGCAATAATGCATTACCAGGGGCAGCAAACACTAGACTATGAGTAAATGCATAGGCAGGTGAGATTAGGTAGGGGTAGGCGAACAGGAATATACTCAAGACCAAAGAGAGATTTGGCTGAAGATAATCATACATATGTACTTGTACTATCAAATTATCAACATACATTACAGAAGTAATAGAGGACAAGGTTGGAATAGCTTCTCAGAGAAAACCAAACACCTTTAGGGAAAGAATCACCAGGCTTGTGGGCTCAGAGCATAGTCTCGGGGGCCATCATGCTCAGTTGGCACAGCACAGTACATAAAAATCTTGTTCTATATCCTACTCTGGTGAGTAGCAACTGGGGTCTTAAAAGCTTTTGAGCTGCCATCTAAGATGCAACTATTGGTCTCTTCTCGTCTGGAGCAAAGAAGAGTGAAGAAAATCAAAGTCATTTGGAAACAATTAGTCCAAAGATATGATGGACCATAAGGACCTCAGCCTTCATGACCCTGAGACCAGTAATTCTGCTCATTTTTGTGAAGAACTAGATGATGCCTGGCTACTGATGCCAACCACTCAAAAAGGGATCAAAACTGGAAATCCTGGAGAGAGTGAGAAAAAAAATGTGGAACAAAATTCAAAAACACAAAAATGAGCAGAATTACTGGTCAGATAGAAACTGGTGGAACCCCCAAGACTATGGCCCCAGGTTATCCTTCCAGCCTAGAAATGGATTCACTTCCATGGATCGGCTCTCACCCTAACAGCAGAAAGACCGACATGCAGAACACCTACCCCAGGAAGATCCACCCACCTACCCTAGGGAGATGCATCCCTTAGATCAATCAGCCATAAGACATCAGAGTGGCAGCATTCACATAAAGGGAAAGGTAGACAGACAGGAATGCACAGAGAAGAAGGGCACAGGGAAGGGGTAGTCACAGGGAGGAGTGGGGAAGAAAGATTTTTATGGTTGAGGATTGTAATCAGGGCCATGAAATCAAATGTGCATGAATTGTTGAGAGTAAAACAAATCTGCTTTGTAAATATGCACCCAAATCACAATAAAATATATTTCCTAAGTGGTATCTCTACAGAAGTAAATTGCCCAATCTTTCTTCCAAGAAGTGGCTGGTAGGTTTGAACCACAGCCTTCTGGTTAGCAGTCAAATGCCTTAGGTACTATGCCTCCAGAGCTCTTCCCATATATATATATATATATATATCTCCTCTGGATTTGGCAATTAATGGTCAATGGTGGTGACATTAATGGTAAAATGATGGAGCTTCTACAAGCAAAACTGCCAAGAGCAGTGGATTCAGGAGTGAATGATTGTTTTCACATCTGGCTCCCTATTTTAGTTTATGAGTCACTAGGAGGTGAGAACTGACAAATATGTCTTATGATTCTCCCAGACTCACAATAAATTTTTATAAATGTTCTGAGCTTGTTTTGTATTAGTTATACTTAATAAAGAACTTAATAAAGAACTGTGTACACACAGTTAAAGTCTCCAGAAAAATTGGGAAGCAAAGCAAGGGAAGGAGAAAGAAAGGTATTTAAAACAAACAAAAAACCTTTGAAACAAGGCTCTTCCAAGTACCTTCTATGCACATGATAGGATCCTTCTCAGCTCACTATCCCCAAAGGGAACTGTGAGGGACTTTGAAAACATGTACCTCTGGAAGCATGCTTCCTCTTCTGTGTAACCAGTTCCATAAATGTCTATCTCCTTTGCCATTAAATATGTTACATGTTATATCTTTCCACCAATCACATTACAGCCTCAGGCTGTCATTCATGCAGTCAATGCCTTCTTCTTTTTAAATCTCTAGTACCTAGCATGTGGTTAACACGCAATAGATTCTGAATAAGTATTTGTTGAGTGGCTAAATAAGCCACTGCCATTGAGTAGATGCCAACTCATAATGACCCTACAGGACAGAGCAGAACTGCCACATAGGGTTTCCAAGGCTGTAAATCTTTACAAAAGACACTGTCTCATCTTTTTCCCTCAGAGAGGCTGGTGGGCTGGAACTGCAGACCTTTTGGTTAGCAGTCAAACACATTAACCACTATGCCACCAGAAGTCCTGAGTGAATAAATAGCAATTATTATATCAAACCCTTGCTCTAAAAGAAAATAAGAAAATGTACTTTCTTTATAATGGCCACTTTGAATATTTCTTTTTTTAGTAGTTTGAAGTAAGTAAAACATTTATGCAACTAATACTCAAATAATGAATTGCAAGAAAAATATTAACTCAAAACCCATAATGTCCTCCATAACATGTTTGTTCCCCTTGATAGAGAAAACAAAAACCCCAGTTTTCAAATGTCTGCCTTTTATAGAATGGGCCTTAGCAGGTTGTCTTAGAAGGAACTACAATGAACATTTTCAAAACAAGAAACATAAAAAATTGAACTCACTCCTTTTTTTTTAATTTCACTGGCCATCTGTCAAAAACAAACAAGACACAATTAAATCAGAGAGAAAAATAAGTATAAATAGTTTAAAATATATCTATTTCATTTTAAAATATTAATTATATTGAAATTAACATAAAATAATTAAGAATTAAAAGGTAAAAGGACAAACTTTTTAAAGAGAAAATTTAACTTACAGTTGAAGGATAATCTGACTCTGGTAATGAAGGTATTCTTGTATACAATGTCTTGTCTAAATTTTTTTTGGCTCCATCAATTCTGAAATTGATAGAAAAGTATATGACTCTCTTTAAGATAACATTAGAACGTATTATTAAACATTATAATTTGTACATTTTATCTACTCCACTAAAAGATATTCAAGAATGTTTTTATGTTACAGAATTTTCTGTAAGAAACAAATTCCAGTAACTATTATTAGTGAGAACTTAATTTTCAAATTATTCAAATGCCTTAGGCACTGTGCCACCAGAGCTCCTTGTACTTACCATCATCTGACATTATATGTTGGTTATTTTTTGTCTCCCTATCTTTGCATATAAGAGAGCAGGCTGTTTTTTCATTGCTGTATCCCCAATGCCTAGAACAGTGCCTGGCACATAGTAGGTGTTCAATAGTGAGTCTTGAATAAATGACTTTATCATCCATAAAATATAATTTCTTCTGTAAATAAAGTTGCATCACAGTATATAATTTATTCATCTATCAAAAAATATGTATTGAATACCCATATTATGCAAGACATAATAAGGTTACACAAGTATAACAGCAACAATGCTTAAGGAATTTATAAACTGATAGGGTGAAAAGATAAAACAAGAATGCCGTGAATCCTGGTGGTTCGGAGGAGGGACAAGTTTATTTCCACTCCAGGAGTGTCTGGGAAGACGACATGAATACATGTAATTCAATGCAATGAAGCTTAAATGAAGGAGAGAATTTCAGGTGGAGATATGGTTATCCTGAGCAGACGGAAAAAACAAACATCCTGAGACAGAACAGGAGCTCAAAATATATCAGTTGAATAAATGACCAGAATAGTGGATTTGGAAAAGCTCTCACACGTCTACTTCAGTATCTCACCTGATGCATGCATACTCTCAATAATACCAAGTTGTACCTCTTGCACGGGGAAGGATGGCAAGTGGGGTAGGAGGGTCATCACTTTCTGAGGCAATACAATTTGTTGTCCACTAGCTCATATGGTGAGAATCAAAATTTTTATACTGAGTTGTATACTTGTATCTACTATTCCATAGAGCTATATAGAAAAAGTTTTTCTTCTGTGCTACTTCTTCAAAAACTTAATATCGATGCAGTTTCTTCAACTATTCCTGTCAATAAGAGCTACCCTTGAGCTCTGGTGGCACAGTGCTTAAGGTACTTGACTGCTAACCACAAGGCTGGTGGTTCAAACCCACCTTGGGCAATCTACTTCCATAGAGATATCGCCTTGGACACCCAAGAAGGGGTCCCTATGAGTCAGAAATGACTTGATGGCAGTGAGTTTGGTTTTGGTTTTTATGGCAAGCTTATTGTGTTTTAAGTGTTGGATTAATATCTTTCTATGCATATATTTCATTTAACTCTTACAACATCCCTAAGAGGCAAACACTATTCTTACCACCGTATTACAGAAAACCAAAACCAAACCAAACTCACTGTCATCGAGTCGATTTGACTCACAACCCCTCCTTGCGTTTCCGAGGCAGTATCTCTATGGAAGTAGATTGCCCAATCTTCCTTCTGAGGAGTGGCTGGTGGGTTTGAACCACCAGCCTTCTGGTAAGCAGTCAAATGCCTTAGGCACTACACCACCAGAGCTCCCATATTACAGATAAAAAAGTGAATATAAGTAGGTTATGTGACTTGATCAAATTCATATGGCTAATAAGCTGTAGAGATGAGATATGAACTCAGGCTTGTCCAATGCCAGTCTATATTCTCACTCATTGAATCAGCTTCATTCAAATGATATGGTTTCAATTTGCTATCTTAGCCAATCTCCTCTGTAATCATTCTGGTTTATCAATGACCCTCTTAAAGTATACTCCCAGAATTCCTGTTTTATTCAACTAGTACAGAGTAAAGAGTTTTCTTTCCCATTTGCAGATATTCTGCATTCACTAACACAGGCTAAGAATGAATTAGCTTTTTTTGAGTAGCTTCATTTTTATAGTGTATGTTACTGAGCTTGTACTAAACTAAAATCCCTAAGAATTTTTCACACGCAGTGGACCAGGAAATATGCCTGGAATACCTTCCTGCTCTTTTGTTAATCTTTAAGGCCCAGTAAGATCTTCCCTTATCCATCATGTCTCCTTGAATAACCCAGCTCTTGTGATCGCTTCTTTTAAAGAACTTGCCTTAGACTTTGTTACATAACTGGCACTGATTGTAGGGTGAATAATACAATGATCTCAACATAAAAATACTACCCCAAGCTGTTTCTATAAATGCCACCCTTTAATGGCCTAATATTAGCTACAATTTCTAGAGTCTGTTTTTGCCACTGGCTATAAATAAAAAGAGCTAAGAAGACTGTAAGAGTGGGCCTTTTTTTCCACCAAGATGGCAGAATAGGCAGACAAGCTACATAGCCCTTTTGCAACAAAAAAATGAGAAACAAACTGAAACAGATACAGAAGATAATCCTGGAACTCTGAAGGGAAAGTTGAAGAAGGAGATTAAATACCAACTAGTAGAAGAATCTGAATGGAAAAAATGAATAAGGAGACAAATGGAACTACAAATTGCTGGCTGTCCTGAGGGCACAGCCATTTCGAATATTTGCAAGTAGCATTCTGATCTGGGCAGCAACCTAAGAATAGGCTCTACTTGCCAAGGACAGCACGGGAAACCACAATGGAGGCTGACAACTGTGATATTCCCTTTGTTGCTTTTATTCCCCACACCATCTTGGTGAACAGAGGTGTGGCCATCCCCCTCCTCCATCCACCTTCTTGACCAGCAGGAATTCTGTCCTAGTCTGTGCCCTGAAAGAGCCTGGATGCCCTGCCCCACATCCACAGTTTTGTTTTTATTTCTTTGTTTTTAAATGATTTTTTTTTTCTTCCTCCTTTCTTCTTCTTTTTTTTTTTTTCTCTTCTCTTTTCCTGGTTTCTGTTTTTCCTTTTGCAGTTTTCCTATTTTTTCTTTATTTTTCTTTTACTAGGAGCTCTGGTGGCATAGTGCCTAAGGCATGTGACTGCTAATCAGAAGGCTGGCAGTTCAAACACACCAGCCACTCCTTGGAAGGAAGACTGGGAAATCTACTTCTGTAGAGACACCACATCAGAAACCCAGGGAAGGGTCACTATGAGTCAGAACCAACTCACTAGCAGTGAGGGTTTTTTTTTATTATTATTCTTTTATTATTATTCTTCTCTCTCATTTCTCTCTCCCCAGATATTGTGGCATTTTGTCCCTCTCTTTTTCTCATTATCTTTTTAAAGTGTATTTTTAAACTTTTTCTTCTCATTGCTTTAGCTCTTTATTTTTCTTTTTGCAATTGTTACTGCTTGTTTATGCAGTTTGTGTTTTTTGTTCTCCTGTTTTTGTTTTATTGTTTTGTTTTATTTATTTATTTATTTTGTCTATCTAAGTAGGAGACGGCAAGTGTTCCCACACCACCCAAACATATCTGCACCTCCTGTAGCCCAACCCACCAAGTGAAGGCCAACACATGTTTCTGCACCAACTGACCAATGATAAATGGTGGCTAATACCAGCTCAACTTACCCTCTACAGCTCTTTACAAACAGCTAATCGTGATCTGTGCACACACTCTCATTCTCTATCGTACCCACCCAGAGAAAGGTGATGAATGCCTAAGTGCTACCAACTAACACACAGAGAAGCAGAGTACCCTGCTCATGTAGATATATCAAAACAAAAACAAGAAGAAGGAAAAATCTTGGGTGAATCACACCAACATACAACCACCAATTAAATACAAATACAACAACATGACAGTGTCTAAGAGACAAATGACCACCCCAGTCCATACAAAACAACAATATAAAGTAGCACAAACAAGGGACCAGGATGCAGACCCTGAAAACATCCTTGAGGAAGAATCAGAACTGAAACTCCCTGATAAGGAATTCAAAAGAATTATATTTAGAGGAGTTCTGGTAAGATGGCAGAATAGGCAGACAGATTGCACAGACCCTCTTCAACAAAGAAAAAGGGAACCAATTAACACAGATACAGAAGATAATCCTAGACCCCTGAGCCTTGAAGGGAAGGATGTAGAAGTGGATTAAACTCCAACTAGCAGAAGAATTTGCATGAAAACACCAAAAAAGGAGACATATGGAGCTGTGGTCTGGCAGCGATCCTAATGGCACAGACAGCTTGGATATTGCCGAGTGGTGGTAGGACCTAAGAATTAACCTGAAAATTGGCCCTGCTAGCCAGGTACTGAACAGAGGACTGCTCTGCTGGCTGGGGAAAAAAAGGGGAAGCAGTGAAGAGGAAAATAGGCTGAGATGTGGACTTTTGTTTGTCTGGAGGGTGCAGCCATTTTGAATGCTTACAAGCAGCTTGAACATTTGGGATATGTAAAGTGAGAGCATTCTCCTAGATTCCAGGGACTTAAGAACAGGTTCCACTAGCTGGGAACTCCAAAGACATTCTGGACCCAGACAACTTGAAAGTGCAACGTTCCCCTTATTACTATAATACCCCACACGGAGGTGCAGCTATCCCTCACTCTCATGAACTTTCTGGGCCAGCAGGAATTCCATACCAGTCTGTGTGCTCAGAGCCAGGGTGCCCAGCCCTGCCCTGCCTGGATTTTTTTTTTTTTTTTTCTTTTTCTGTTTTTTGCTTTGTTTGTTTTTGTCTGTTTTAAAACTAATAATATTATTATTATTACTTTTGTCCTTTTTACTATTATTCTTTATTCTTCCCCTTCCAGGTCCTAGTTGTCAGCTTTTTTTCTTTTCCCAGTTCCTGGTTGCAATTTTTTTATTCCTTCTCATGGTTAACCCCATTCCTTGTTTTCCCCATTTTTTTCTTCATTATTCTCCTTCTCTACCTTTTTTCTCTTATTGCCCTCTCCACAGATAGTGCAGGGTTTTTTTTTTGTCTGTTTGTTCCTTCTTTTTACCTTTTTTCTTTTTTTGGTTACTGTTGCTGTGTGATTACATGATGTGTATTTTTTTGTGCTTTTATTTTTTTGATGGTTATTCAATTGTTCTTTTTGTCTAATCGAGTGGAAGACAGCAACAGTCCCCATAGGACACAACTAT